GGGCAGAGTGTGAGGAGTCCTCCCCCTGAGGAGGAAGGAGCGGCAGAGACAAGGTGTGATGAACTGACCGTAACCCCCATTCCCCGTCCCCCTGCGCTGCTCGGGGGGAGGAAGGAGAGAAACGGGAGTGAAGTTGAGCCCGGGAAGAAGGGACGGGTGGGGAGAAGGTGTTTTAAGATCTAGTTTTACTTCTGATTATCCTACTCTGATTTGATTAATGAAAAATTAAACTTTCTTTTCTCCCCAAGTTCAGTCTGTTTTGTCCATGACAGTAATTGTTGAGTGATCTCTCCCTGTCCTTATCTCGACCCTTGAGCCTTTCATCAGATCTCTTCTCCCTTGTGCAGTTCAGGAGGAGGAGTGATAGAGCCGTTTTGGTGGGCACCTGGCATTTATCCAGGCCAAACAAAAACAGTAGTCTAAACAATCCTTGTCATAAAGAAGACAATAAATCCTATAGTTGTCACTTTTACAAGCTATGTGCATTTCTGTTTTAGGGGCCACTTGAAGTGATTAATTTCTTTAATGAAAAATTTCTAGCGTTTTTTATTTTGCTTTATCTTCACATCACTATTGTAAACAGTGTTTTCAGCAGTAGCAAACACCTTTTAAACTGAAGGGGACCTACTTCATCTGAAAAATGAATTTACTTCAATCTACAAAAACATCTGAAGATGCTCAAATATCAGATGCTAATCCCACTGAAGTTCTCCTATTTGTTAATCTGCTGCACCTTCATACAAATGAAATTCTATCAAAAAATCCCCTTATTTTTTTTCTTCTCCTTCTCTTCTTCTCGTTCTTCTCTTTCCTGCAAGATTTTCTAATGTGAACAGGAGTGGCTTCTCCAGCAGCACAAGTCTCTGCAGGCTGTCTCGGTGGGAGGCTCCTGATGCTGACCTCAGCAGCCCACATATGCTTATCAATAACTGCCTGGCCTCCTTGCTATTCCTTCCCCAACGGTGAATTCTTACGGCAGCCTGCAGTGCTGTACAGACCATAGAAACACCTCTCCCACTGCACCACAGAAATCCGAAAGTTCATCTGCCAAGGGGAGGTCTGACTTAAATGTTTGTCAAAAACTACCTGCAGACTTGAGGACAATCAATCCAACCCTGCCATTCCTGATCACATGATTAGAATTAAAAAAAAAAAATCATAGCCAAAGATGGAGAGAAAGGCTTGGAAAAATGAATTCACTTCAAGTGTGCTCATTGTTCAGAACGAGCTTACCCTACACAAATTTATTTTCTCTTCAATAATTTGAGCTTCCTGTT